TTCAGACCTCCTCAAACTCCCCGATCTCCTCACCCTCCATCGGCGGCCTTCAGTCACTACGCCCTGGAAGCTGTGGAACACTCTCCCTCAATCCCTTCGCCTTGCGCCCTCTATCTCCATATTCAGGTTGCACCTGAAGACCTTCTTCTTCGACCATGCCTCCAGTCACCTTCCCCCTCCCCCCAGCTCAGCATCGGGCTTCACCACTGTTAATCGCTCCGAGAGATGTGGATGAAATCCGCTGTAAATACAAGTTGTTGCTGTTTCGGAGTGCTGTACAATGATGGGTCAGGTGCCAAGCTTCAGAGAGAGGTGAGGGGGAGAGTGGAAGGGGTGTAACCATAGATGCTTTCAAAGAGCTAGGTTTTAAGGCAGGATTTCAAGACAGATAGTGAAGAAGTGAGAAGGAAGAAGGGAGCTCTGGAGATTAAGGGCATAAAGTGAAGACTTGGGTACCAATGATGGTATGTTATGATGGAGAAGCAAGCAAGCACGTGTTTGCCAAGCGAAGGGAGTAAGTAGAGGTAGGAGAAGATCAGAAAAATAAGGAGTAGCTAAACAGGGTATGAAAAGATTTACAGATCAAGGTGAAGACTTTGAAATCAGTCATTTCATGAGATTTACTTTTCTTTAAAAGTCCCAAACATAGAACTTGATCACTGACAAGTAACCGCAGAAAATTCCACACGTTCCTTGCACGTCACCTGCACATTTTACAGTTTCATATGAAAGTTCTGCAAATGTTGATGGTGGAATAGAGAGAATAGTACCTGGTTAAATAAAGAACTGGAAAGGTTCTGAAATTGCCATTGAAAAAAAAGAGACAAATTTGCTCTCACTCATAATGGCCCTCAAACATGCTTCTGTTGTCTTTCGAACCAGGCATCACTGTAATTTCAGAAAACACAAAATACTGCACATTCTGGAAATCTAAAACAGCAAAAGTCACTGGGAACACTCAGCAGGTCAGACAGCATCAATGGAGATGATCAGATCATCTCTTTAACCCATCATCCCCATTTTCTCCTTTGTCTTCCTTGCCCTGTCTCCACCCTCCCTGTTAGTCCTTAAAAGCCTCTCCCTCCTAACATGACCTAGGGTCATGGACCCGAAACGTTGACTCACTTTCCTTTCTCCATAGATGCTGCCTGACCTGCTGAGTGTTCCCAGCAACTTCTGTTTTTGTTACTGCAATTTCAGAAATGGCTTCACCTTGATCTGCTATAATAATACATGTTCCAATATAATTTCTGATTCAACTCATGTACCTGCGGGGGGGGGAGGGTTGTGATTTATTACTTGAAACATCTCATTTGGAATTCAAACTACTTTCATTAGTGGGTTTGCCAGCAAAAGGAGAGTATGTGCCACTAACATTAATATTTATAAACGTTTAGGGTTGAGCAAACGATTATCTGTAATTACACCATAAATATGAGTGCAGATCTGGGTCAGAAATCTGAGGTGACCCGCACTTCAATGGTTGGACCAATACTATGCATTGGATTTGAAAGCTGAGCTACGCCAGTTCAAGATGAAACAGTACGTGATTCTGCTATTTTTAGCTTTTCAGCTCCTTCTTGGCGATTACATCACCAGTAACAGCAGCAGCAGCAGCAGCAGCACACTGCAGTCATAACGCAGCATAAATCATGCCAGATGCTGCTTGCTGCCCGTGAATGAGCTTCACATTAAAACTGTTGATTAGCTAGCTTCAGGAAACTGCGGAACTTTGCTTGAATTTTCATAGAATCATAGAATCATAGAATCGTACAGCACAAAAAGAGGCCATTCGGCCCATCGAGTTTGTGCTGGCTCTTTGATTGGAGCAATTAATGTCAATCCCACTCCCCAGCCCTTTCCTCATAACCCTGCAAACCCGTCCAACGCGTTTTTAAAAGTAGTTATCGAATCGGCCTGGACCACCCTTCAGGCAATGCGTTCCAGATTCGAATAACTCGCTGCGTGAAAACATTTCTTCTCACCTCCCCTCTGCTTCTTTTGGAGACTAATTTGAATCTGTGACCCCGAGTCACCGACACACGCACCAGTGGATACAGTTTTTCCCTTTCTAACCTATCAAATCCCCTCATGATTTTGAAGACCTCTATTAGGTCTCCTCGTAACCTTCTCTGCTCCAATGAGAATAATCCCAGCCTCTCTAGCCTTTCCTCATAATCAAGGTCCCTCATTCCTGGTACCATCCTCGTAAATCTCCTCTGCACCCTTTCCAATGCCTTAACATCCTTCCTAGAGTGTGGTGCCCAGAACTGGGCGCAGTATTCTAACTGAGGCCTAAACAGTGTTTAATTGGCCCAACCCTACTTTTGACTAGCCTTTTATTCTTGATCTGCTTGTAAAATATTTTAGAATTTCCGTTAATGTTACCTGCTAACCTTTTTTCCTATAATCGTTTTGCCCCTCTTATTTCCTTTTTCAAATCTCTTCTGCACTTCCTATATTCTATTTGGTTGTCTTCTGTATCTTGGGTTTGACACCTGTCATACGCCTCCTTTCTCTGCTTCATACTAGATACAATTTCCTTCGTCATCCAGGGAGGTTTGGAAGCCCTACTTTTCCCTTTTATGGGAATGTATTTATTCTGTCCTCGAGCCATCTCATCCTTGAAGACTTCCCACTGTTCTTTAGTTGTTTTACCTGCCAATCTTTCTTTCCAGTCCACCTTGGCTAGGTCCCTTTTTAACTCACTGAAATTTGCCCTCTTCCAGTTGAATATCTTCACCTTAGATGGTTCCTTGTCTCTTTCCATATGCACTCTGAATCTAATGATGTTATGATCACTATTGCACAGATGCTCTCCCACTGAAACCTACTCCACTTGCCCTACTTCATTCCCCAGAACTAGATCTAGCACTGCTTCCTTCCTTGTTGGGCTGGAAACGTACTGATCAAGAAAGTTGTCCTGTATGCATTTTAGGAATATTTCCTCCTCCTTGCCGTTTGCGCTGTTGTTTTGCCAGTCTCTGTTGGGATAATTAAAGTCCCCCATTATCACGACTCTATTGGCCTTGCATCTCTCTGAGATCTGCTTGCAGATCTGCTCATCTATTTCCTTCCCACTATTTGGTGGTCAAAAGTATACCCCTATCAGTGTAACAGCTCCTTTTTTGTTCCTTAACTCTAACCAGATAGATTCCGTTTTGGGGCCCTCCAACACCTCAACCCTTTCCACGGCTATAACCGTATCCTTGATTAACATTGCCACTCAGCTCACCAATCTTATTTGCTAAACTCCGTGAATTTAGGCACAGGCTCTCCAAGACCAACTTGACCTGTTCTGCACTTCCCCCCTGTTTTTTTTCTCCATTTTCTAACTCTTCATTTTTTGCATTCCCTTCCCCCCATAAAACTAGTTTAAACCCTCCCCTACAGCATTAGATAGCCTGTCTGCAAGCACATTCGCCCCAGCCCTGTTTAGGTGGAACCCATCCATATGATACAGGTCCCATCTGCCCCAGAACTGGTCCCAATAATCCAGAAACCTGAAGCCCTCTTTTCATTTTCTGAATAAATCACAGCAATCTAGTACTTCCTGACTTTTTTTTTCAGAAACGTTAATGCTGCGTCCCCGGGGTGGGGGGTGGGAGGGGGTGGTTACTGAACTGTCACAAATAGGACAAAATGAAGGGGCAGAAACGCAACACAACTGATTCAGTCACTGACTATCACTGATACAAAAAACTGTGTCTCGATCATCTGGGGAAGGGAGATAAAAGCACAGTCAATGAGTATTAATTCACTTAATAATAATAATAATAATAATCCTTGCATTTGATATAGTGCTTTTCACATCGGGAGGACGTCCCAAAGCGCTTCACAGAACACACTGTAAAGTGAATTGACTGTATATTTGTGGGCGAACGCGGCAGCCAATTGCGCACAGCAATGTCCCACAAACAGTCGTAGATTGAAAATGACCAATTTATTATTGTTGTTGTTTTGGAGGGATTATTATTAGGCGTGTGGAGTAAGGAAACTTGCCCAAGGTTTCGCCCTCTGCCTGGAATTGAACTCAGGTCTCTCGCTTGCAAAACGAGTGCTCTAACCACTGAGCTACAGGACTCCACTCTACAGGGGCACTTGCAGCTGTATAACAATCTTGGATCTTTTGACCAAAATGAGTTTTTTCCGCCACTCTGAGGCTCAGAGTGTGAATGTGTACACTGATACAGAACGTAACAAACATGAGATAAACTGCAGCTGCCTTATCAAACTTTTGAGATGCAAACAGCTCCCTTATCAAAGCTTTGTAAAGAGACCAATACCATGTCTGATCATGTCTATAAAACCTAACATCCCACGCACTATGACCATCAATTCTTTTATTTTCACTATTTTATGCCTTCTCTTGAGAAGGAAGACAGTAACACAAACACGCCTACATAGCTACCAGTTTGAGCTGCAAATGTGTGGTGTGTAATTTATTTGATTCAATGCAACTAGAACAAACTACCTGGAGTTATTTGAACTGATACATTGTTTAGCTCCCTCCTCTCCTGATGGTCTCCAAAGGTATCCTTTGGCACTTGACCGAAATGCCCATTTTTGACTTACGATCCTTGACAGTGCATGTTGGCAGACACTGTAACTATGGGGCATTGCATCCGAGTCAGTTGCTGTCCTCACCTGTCACACTCGGCTACACACACAGATGCACTATTCAGCAGGAGTCATCGAATAGCTATCTGTGGTCAGAAATTTCTCATGATCTTAGCCTTAAGACCATTGTCTTACAATTTTGCTGAATTTTGGAACATTTTATCTTCATTTGGATGCCAGCTTTACTTGAAGATGACACCTCTTGCAAAATAGCACTCCCCCAGCTCCGCATTGGAATGTCAGTCAAGATTACGACATGCTGAGTGGTGCTTGAACAATGGTTGGAAAGGGGTTATTTAGGGGAAAGGGGGAAACAGCTGAACGTATGGGTTCTAATCACAGTTGATACTGGAGTCTGTGGTAAGCAGACCATTCCTTACCTTGGAGCGCTTCTAACCGATGGCTTTGAATCACGATGCAGAGCTGCAGAACGAGTTGTGGAGCACTCTCCAGAAACGTTGCCAGCAGATGAAGCATACTTACATCTGCGTACTCATACACCATGTTCCAGTAAAAGCGCCAGCGGTCCTGCTCTCCACTCCGGCGGCTACGGATACCAAGGTATATGGTGCGTAAATACCTTTGAACAAAATGGAGAGAGAAAAGCACTTAATTATAATAATAATAAAAATAATCATACTTAACTTGCTATAGCACCTTTCACATATTTATGGGGTTTACTGTAGAGTGCAGTCACATTGTGTTTTGAAAGCAAACTGGCAGCCAATTTTGATCACAGCAATGTGCCACAAACAACCATGAGCAAAATAACCAATTTTATTTGGGAGATTGCTGGCCAGAACTCCAGGAGAAATTCTCTTCTCTTTACAAATAGTAGCTTGGGATCTTTAACATCCACTTGAACAGGCAGATGGGACCTTGATTTAGTGTCTTATCTGAAGGACGGCATCTCCTACAGTGCAGCACACCCCCAGCACTGCATTGGAGTGTCATCTTAGACTATATGGGTTCCAAATTCCAACATGGGATTTTAACCCACAACCTTCTGCCTCAGAGGCGAGAGTGCTACCAACAGAGTTAGGCTGACAAACACATTTAAGAACCTTTATGGCACACTCTGGTCAACTTTCCGTGAAAACATTACAAGAAATTGGCATGTTAATCTCAACCAGCAAATGTTTTATAGCACATGTGAGAAGTTCTAAGCATCATGTTATTTCATTCTACAACTGTTCCATAAAAAGATCCAGTTGGACAGAGTTCTAGGTTACAACGAACACGAGGAAAAACTTAAGCAATGGATGATCAATGATGGTACATGAGATATAAATTCTACTTCATGAAATTCAAATGAAGCAAAGTAGCCCCCTGAGAAAAATAATGTTGTCTACAATATTAAAAATAAACTGTTACGGATCAAGCTCTTTTAGTGGATTGCTATCTCTACCTACATCTGGAAGTATCTGTCCTCAATTATTCTCACACAAGCTGGCATGACAATCACAGGCATGAATCTATGCCCTTCCCCTATGGCAAAGCTTTACAGCTTCAATGTATTGACCAGCCACCCACTCTCTAAACGTTACCATAATCCCAGTTGCAGCATGTTACAACATGTGAGTTGCTTATTTTGAAAAAGGTCAGTGCTTTAACTCTTTATTTACCAGGCAACAAATAAAATAAAAAGCTAGATGTAATAATGAGGTCTAAAAGAACGCTATATTTGCAACAGATTTCACAAAGGATTGGTAAATATTGAATCCTGACAATCACAGTACATGTTTTATCCTGGACCCTGGGAGCTCTTGGTAATCCGTCTATTTCTGAGCAAATTGTGCTCTCAATACCACGTTTTAGATCCTTGATTGAAAGAGTGTGAATTCTGATGCATTTTCTTCACGCATCTATTTTGATTTGAAGTCAGGCAGAATTATAAAAGTGAGCCCAGATGTACTGAAATATGAAGAAACACACTTTGAGTTTATAATTGTGCTTATTCTACACATTTATTAACATGTTTTTCTGTAATACTTGGTAAGCTGTAACTGGCTAATGAAAGGTTCAGAGACTGATTGAACCAGTGAAGGCTCACCCTTCATTCAATTTAGATTGAATTTATTTCTCAGCAAACCATTGCTCTCGCTCCAAGTGTCTAGTCAAAATCTAATCAGTATTGTAGATTCCCTTTATTTACTGAACACACCAACTATTCTCACTTGGCATTCATATCCTTAATCAACATTCACTTAATATTTTTTGCAAGAAAGACACTGCAGTGAGAAAATCATCAGAGGAAAAAGAAGCAGGCATATCAGTTTGAGCCAAACAAGGTGCACTATGTTTCAGCCCCCACAAATTATTACCATCCCTCCCCCCCACTCCCACTGTTGGCCCTGCCCTCATCATTGCTATTGTTAACAAGAAACTGTTTCTAATCTGTTCAAAGTTAGTCATTACCCTCAACAGTATATACTGTGAAGTACTTTGAGATGTCCTCCCAACATGAATAACAACAACAACAAAATTACATTTGTATTGCGCCTTTCACGTCAGGAGGACGTCCCAAGGCACTGGGCAGTCAGTGTTATGGACCCGAGCTGGGGTCGCGATTGGTGAGGGTGAAGGGCAGGGGGGAAGGAGGGTGGTTGAAGGCACGGTAGAAGAAGAGGGTCTTGAGATGGGTCTTGAAGGAGGCAAGGGAGGGAGTGAGGCGGAGGAACTGCAGGATGGAGTTCCAGAGGGTGGGTGTAGAGTGGCTGAAGGTTCGCCAGCCAATGCTGGGGCGCGCGAGAAGGGAGACGTGAAGCAGGCCGGAACCCACTGAGCAGAGGGCGCGAGCAGCTAGGTAGGGGGTAAGGAGGTCGGAGAGGTAGGGGGAGCAAGGCCATGGAGGGCTTTGAAGGTGAGGACCAGGATCTTGAACTGTATCCTCTGTGTGATGGAAAGCCAGTGGAGTTGGGCGAGGATGGGGGTGATAGGGTCGTGGAGCCTGGTGCTGGAGAGGACACGGCTACAGAGTTCTGGATGATCTGGAGAGGCCGACAAACAGGGAGTTTGCTCAGTCAAGTCTGGATGTTATGAATGCGTGTATGAGGGTTTCGGCGGCTGTGGTGAAAGTGTTGTATCAAATGTTAACAATTTAATGATTTTAATATCACTGTATTCTCTTTACGTGAAATGTTGCCCAAGTGTATATGACCGCATCAGCAAGCAGACTGCAAGTTGCAATGGCCCTGTAAACATTGTTTTGTTTTCATGTAAAGCATATTCCTGTATCAAAGGGAGTTGCATTATGTGATACAGAAACAAACTACTTTCTGGGCAGAGAATTACATAGTGTAACTGAAGGGCCAGCATTTACAAGTCCTGAAAATTAGCTCTGTACATTGCTTATGACATACAGTCCAAAAACAACAACTTGCATTTAACGCAGCCCCTTTCACATAAGGTAAGGTCTCGGAGCTTTTCGTAGAGACAAGGCTAGGTGCTGAGCAAGAGAGAACGGGAGGAAGGGGGAGGTGCCCACAAATACAGTTCAAAGAAGTAGGCTTTTAGGCAAGATTTAGGGACAGATAGAAAGGGGGAAAGAAACGCATGGGGAGAAGGAGGTTACGAGCGTAGCAGCTGAAGACTCAGCCACTGGTGGGTATGACAAATTGAAAGAACCAATTTGTTTTCCAAATTAGACTTAACTTAAGAATTTTGCAAAATTCGGAACAATTAAACTTTAAAGCAATGATCTCTAGTGTAAGTTTATTGGCACCTTAGGTTGGCATTCATAGCACAATTAAACAATTAAACAATTAAACACTATGGGAAGAAATTCTACTTCTGCGTTCTTGAATGAAGTTACAGAAAACTGGTTTTATAATAAAGGCTGTATTTAAGAATTTCCCAAGTTGTGGCTGCTCTAAAATGATATTTTTTGGGGAGTCAGCTGAGTGTCTGACACATTTCCACATGTGACCCATCACCACGCTTCAGAGTATCCAAAGTTTCTGGAACAGAATGCACTCTCTCTCCTCGAAGGGATGCACTCTTCTTACGTAATTGACATGTGTTGGTGACAGCCAAGGCTTGGGGACCAGAGTGTACATTGGAAGAACTGCTGGAGTTTAACCAGCTAAAACCATACACTGTAACTTGCAAATCTAGATAAAGTGGGTATATCTTCATCCAATTTCTCCCTCCAAAAAGTGTTTCAAGGACGCAGGGACAAGTGACAAATTAATTTGATCTTGAAATAGATATAACACCCTATTTTAAAGGGTTTGAAAGTTATTTGTATTAATTTCCTGATTCTTAATAAACTCAGGGTAATTCTTTCATATATTTTCATATACACATCAGGACATGGGGGGTCACAGGTTCAGGGTTTTCAAGAGGATTTCAGAACAGATACCAAGTATTTCCTTAGATAGATGGTAATCGATGCCTGGAATGAATAACCAATAAGTAAAACAGAAGCCAGCACGTGGATTGATTTGAGAAATTCCTTACTGGAAATTCCTTAACAGGAAGGCTATATGTATTTTGACACAATAGAATCAAATGAAGGGATTTCTCCACCCGAATCTCGTGTGAATCTTTTTGTGATCTGAACAAAGCCAGTTGGTATGATGTTGGTATGATGCTGGTAACCTTCTCATTTGATACCAGGCTCGGGGGAAAGCTTACAGTAACCTTTTGATAGTGAAATTGCCACATTGACACAAAATCACTGAATCAGTGTAAGTGATCGATTGTTACTGATTTACAGAGGAAGCAGCAAAGTTAAAGTTCAGTGACAGTAAACATCTCAATGTCAGCCTAGTTTTGACATTGTTTGAAAGACGACCAGAAAGCATTCTGCATCCTCGTATTCTTCAGACTGAAGGCCCGATTTTAAATTGACTGCATACTTTTACAGGTAATTTTTTTTGGACAGCCAGGTGACTGACACATGCAGAAAGCTATCACCATGCCTAAGAGTATCCAAACCAATCTAAAAACTCCATGCATCCCAAATTCCATGCAACACATGGAAATTCTAGAGACTAGCTAAGTTGTAATCTTGAAATAGATATTTTTGCAATTGAACTGAAATTGATTATTTTGGAGCATCATTGGGAGCAGAGATTGAGTATTTTATGAATTGGCTACATTTGTTTCCATTGTTCTTTGAGATATTTAATCTTACTCACTACACAATGGAAGCTGAATGCTCTGATTTCCCTGTAACTGAAGTGCAATTTCTTCCACCTCATATGAATTCATAAAGATTTTGTTCCATTAATGCAGGCAATTCAGGCAAAGCAGTTTCATTCCATCAAGATTTCAACAAGCAGTTTTTACTATGAAAGGCACCCACATTTGTTGGTGAATACCATTTTTCAATGCACCAAGACTGCAAATTCAACAATGTAATTTACAAGGGTATTTTTCAGCTAAATAGCATATGTTTCACAAGTAATCAGGAAATGATTGTCTGTGTCTCATATGACATGCAGTTGCCGATCCATCAATGCTTCTTTCAATGGTTCAGGTACAGCCTGGGAAACATGCTGTTATTTGCAGATCGAGTGCTATTATTCTGCAGCTGGATACGTTGCCTGATCCAATAATCCATTTAGAACCAGG